GAATCTGCAATAGCCATCTGAGACACGTACCGAATCTGGGACTAGGCAATATCGCAACTCTATATCCATTAAACTGGCCACATAATTCACTTGCTTTAGAGTGTAAGGGTATTTCCCAGTCAGGGTAGAAAGCCTGTCAACGTCAACGTCAACTTGCTATGCAAACATGGGAAGAAGCTAAATGAGCAATCGTCTGGTCTTTTTCTGTTTATTTGTTTATTTTATCATACCAGATTCGACCACCAAGTCAATCACCCGGGATAGCTGAGAGATACAGGCTAGGGGGTAATTTATACTGCTTATACTTGTAATTTAACGAGTATCAGTTCTTTTATTGGAATTATGTGCATCAATCGTTTAGCCCACAAGTACTGTCTTCCCATTAGTAGTTAATGTATGTACTCTGTAGTCTCATGAGCATACAGGGAAGCGACGGTGAAAATAGAGTGAGCGGCGGTGGCGTGGGTTGGCTTGTCGTCCCGTCCCGTTCCCGAAAGTATTTAATGACAAAAGGTGATCAATAACAGGGAAGCTGAAAAGGATGCAAGGAGATCGCACATTCTTACATGAAAGTGACGGTGTGTTCACTGTTCAGTGTTCACCCCCTTGGGTAGATCTTGATTTGCTGCAAGGGGTGAGTGAGGCGGACAATCTTAATATAACTCTCTTTACCAAAGGTTCATGATTGAAATACCTACTAAGAACATAATAGGTAGGCCAAAGTCATTTTCCACCGGTTAGAGACGAAGGCTATACTTTCATCATAACCACTATTGATTACCAATAGAAGACTTCTGATTCCTGTCTGCCCAGTACAATGCCTGGCATATCTAGTGTTCCTACAATTGACCTGAGTCAGCTCGACGACCCTGAGTCGAAGAGGCAGGCGCTGGCAACCCTCGAACAGGCTTGTACAGATTGGGGTGCCTTCTATATCTCCGGTGCACCCATTGGTGAGGATGAACTCCAAAATGCTACGAGAGAGACCAAGGCATTTTTTGAACAGCCCACGGAGAAGAAAATGGAAATTGCCTTGGAGAATGTTCCCAGCTTTCTAGGTTACGTCCCGGTGAGTGCACGTTCTTTTCTTCCATCTCGCCCAACTATCCTAATAATATTTCGCCCACAACATACAGCTAGCCAGCGAGCGCACTGGAGACAAGGTCGATTATCGAGAGAGAATTATTGTGCGCCCTGATGACCCACGGCCTTCGCAAGATCCTATATATCGGAATCTGCAGGGTCAGACCCAATGGCCTGCTCAAATGCCGGGTTTCCGTGCTGCCCACGAGCAGGTGATTAAGGGCTTCACGAAAGTCGCAAGTACCGTGCGCGCTCTCCTGGCCGAGTTTCTAGGCATCGACCCCGCCGTTTTGGATGGTATGTTCCGTGAGGAGGCATGTCAGAACCGGAATGTTATCATTCGCTACCCTGAGGTTCCGAAGGACCAGGGCAAGCAGGAGAGCTTGCAAGGGCTCCACGGCCACAAGGACATGACTTTTGGAGCGATAATTTACCAGGCTACCGACCATGAATCGCTCCAGATCCAGAGCCCAACTGGGCAATGGGTTACCTGCCCGCCGAAGCCGGGGAGTCTACTATATGTCATTGGGGCTATTGGAGAATCCATTACACGCGGCGTTTGTAAAGCGGGCTTTCACCGTGTTCTCTCCACGGAGCCCGGGAGTGGCCCTCGATATTCCTTTGTCACAGCCCTTCACATGGATTACGATATCTCATTAGCCAATCCGAAGATCAAGAAGACCCTTGAGACCATCGGACAGGATATCTATAGGAAACATGGTGTCAGTAATCAGATGCTGGAGGACTTTCTTTACGAAGAGTTCGACACGATCGGCATGAGAATTTTGGCTCGATACATGCGAAGCCTGCCGCATGTCACTGCAAGATTTGTATGTTTGCAGTACCTTCCTTGCAACTAACTTTTCACTCATACTTACGCACATTTAGTATCCCGAGTACTCCAACCGCGTATCCGCTGCGTAAAACGCCGAATCCAATTCATTGTGGGGTGATCGAGTTAGAGCAAGGGTCTGCTTGCGCGAAACCATCTAGATGTCAGCTTTCATTAGTAGCCATTGATTTACAATGATGTTTAATTATATTGATTCATACTCCCCACTCTGCTGTCTAAATCTGTATCATGCATTCCTATATCTGTAGGCGCAAGGCATGTGGACTTACCACCGGACCTCGAGGTTTACCATGTGAGCGGGTACTACATCGCCCTTGCATCTCCCTAGACTGGATGGCAAGAGGTAATTTCCCGATCAGGTGGCATGTCTGCAGGATGAAAAATGCTTATCGGGGTAAGGGTCTTGTTCCTGGTTTATTGTTGTTGACGAAGCCCTTCCCAGCAAGGGGGGGGACTAACCCATTCCACAGAAGGCCCTGTGCTGCATCATTTTGCCCTGCCGTCGAATGGTGTGTTTATCCAAGAGCATACACTCCACCCTGTTCAATGTTCATATAACCCATATCTGTTGGCTCTATCGCATTACTAGCTGTACCCAATTCACCATCATGAGCGAAGCTCCGCCTGAAAAGTCAGCTGTATCTTACAGCATAACGCCGGGCACTCAGCCCGAAAAGAACAATGATGATGAGCCAGAACTCCAGGCAGTTCTTGTTAACTTTGACGACGAGTTTCCTCATCCAAATCAATGGCCCATTACTCGACGTTGGGCTATAACAGTTCTCATCACCCTCCTTAATGTGCTAGTCAATCTGTCCACAACGATTGTGGCCCCGTCACTAGACAAAATATGCGCCGAGTTGAAAATGGATCCCAATATTGAAGGGCCGCTGACAATATCTGCATATGTCCTGATGCTTGCACTGGGACCGCTGCTGCTGGCGCCCTTTAGTGAGCTGTGGGGGCGCGTACCGTTGATCCACGCCGGTAACCTAGTGTATGCAGTGTTCAATCTTGCCTGCGGCTTTGCGCAAAACAGGGCACAACTTGTGGCATTCCGAGTATTGTCAGGGTTCGGGAGTGGTGCAAGTCCTGTGGTTAGTAGGACCACATGCAATTTGACTAACGCCATGTATCACTGACTACAACGTGACTTAGGTGGGAATCGGAATGATCAGCGATCTTTTCCCAGCGGAGCAGCGTGGCAAAGGCCTCGCTGTGCTCAACATGGCCTTCATTCTCGCGACCCCGATCGGTGCTATTGTGGGCGGCTTCACTAGCTACTCGGCATCCTGGCGCTACGACTTCTACGCCACCTCCGCCGTCTCCGGTGTTCTGATCATGATCAGCGCCCTTGTCTTCCGCGAGACCTATCCCCCTGTCGTTCTTGGTCGCCGAAAGAAGCAGCTTCTCAAGAACGACCCCAGCCATGGCACTTACAGAACGCCTTACGATAACGACCACCACACCCTGGCGGCCCTCTACTACAAGACACTTATCCGCCCAGTCCAGTTCCTGACTACACAGCCTATCATCCAGCTACTCTCCCTCTATGCCTCCATCATGTACGGAACAACATACCTCATCTTCTCAACTTTCCCAACACTCTGGGAAAAGCACTACGGAGAGCCCAAGGATCTCGCCTCACTGCACTTCATCGCACCTGGAATCGGCTACTTCATCGGTATTCAGATCGGCATGTTCACCGCCGACCGCATATACCTAGCGCTGAAGCGACGAAATCATAATGAAGGGCGCCCGGAATTTCGCCTCCCACTGCTGGCCGTCAGTGCGGTGTGCGCTCCGCCCGCCCTCTTTTGGTATGGCTGGACAGCCCAGGCGAAGCTGCATTGGGCAGTGCCGAATGTTGCCATCGTGTTCCTGATGTGTGGATGCACCATTGTCTTCCAATGTGTCACGGCCTACTATATCGACGCGTTCCCGCTCTATGCCGCCAGTGCATCCGGTTCATCATTCCTCCTGAGAGGTCTCTGCGCCTTCGGATTCCCCTTGTTTGGGCCCTCCATGTACGAGCACCTCGGCTACGGCTGGGGAAACAGCCTTTTAGGGTTTCTGGCATTAGCCGTAGCGGTGCCGGTGCCCTTGGTGCTGTGGTTCTATGGGGAGCGTCTGCGGAGAGTCAGCAGTTATACCATGTAGCTTGAAGGCAGGCCCAAATAAGGCATGGTTCCAGGTAGACAGAGAAAAAGGATGTTATGCAACGTTCCTGTCATGTTTTACAGTTACACAGTATGTATTCTAAACATAATATAATCCACATACATTTTTTTTTTATATGCCCAGAAAAACCGCAAAAGATGTAATGGCGTAATAACTGACCGCTTCACCAAAAAAAAAGGGGAAAAAAGTCCACAAAACCTCCGCGAAGGGGTAAACACTCCCTAATATATCTTTATACGAACTTTCAGGTTCTATACATAAAACATAGATTTAAGCTCAATTTTAAGCCATAGTAGCGTTCACTCGCAGATAGAGTGGCACGGCGACCTGAACCTGGGTCGTGGGTGGCTTCTAGTCTTATGGATCAGATACGAGTTGGGAATATGTAAGTGGGCCTTGTCAGAATGAAGTGATTCTTTCTATCTATTCTCTGTCAACTTGATGGAGTTGGGAAATCTCAATCTTTAGTTTTAGTACAGATGCCAAGCGTTGTCATGAAGATCTCCTTAGCTTTTACTAATATGAAAGCGATGTCCTTGAGGGTCTTCCGTGTTGCTGCCCTCTATAATTTCTGCCAGTCCCATAATAGGATTATTTTTCTGGCTTAGATAACTCAGATAATGGTTATTTCAGCCATCTATTGATCAGCTCGTCTGAGCCCAGTAAATAATAGTAATAGTATGAGCGAAGGCCGGTGGACGGTTGCAAATTGCCTATTGTATTCCATATATTATTTTTCTTGGACAGGAGTACATCCATACATGTAATGTAATGTAGCATGGTGTACAATGGGATTTATACTCAAGAGTTCCGTGCCTAACAATATTCAACAACAACAACACAGACGGGAACTCCCAACGTACATTCAAAACACAATTTGCACTCAAACAATAGCCCACTGAAAACAAAGTCGACAATACTCCATAAGCCCGACCTTCTCCGGCCTACCCATAGGTGCGTCCAAACCATCAGCTCTCCCCCCATTAATACTATCCCCAGACACACCAGCACATCTCGAATCCACCATAACTTTCCACCCCCTCAAAGCCACCAAACACCCCGCCGCAGCCAAATAAACAAACCCTGTAAATAACTGCGTCCCCAGATAACTGCCCGTTCCCGCAAAGATCTCCAACGCAATCGGCTCACTAAACGTACAGGGCAAGACAATACTCAACCACAACAGATTCAGCCCAGCCGGCACCTCCTTCAACCCGACGACCTCAGCCATCAGCGGCGCAATAGTAGCCCAGAAGTTTCCCGCGATGAGCCCCTCCGCGACGGCAAAGAATCCCAACACCGCGTAGCTCTTCGCGTTCGTCCAGACAACCAGCGCCAAGATGCCTGACAGGAAAGTCATGGAGCTGGCCATATTGATCCGTCCGACGCGGTCACTGAAGTAGCCGATGCAGGGGCGGCCGACGGCTTGTCCGAGGTTGAATATTGCGGTTATGATGGAAGCTTGAGAGGCGTTGAGGCCGATTTCGTTGGCGTAGTTGGCGAGACTGTACATGAGGACGAAGTAGCCGAGCATTGTGAAGCTAGCAAAGCCGAGGAGGAGTTGGTATTCGCCCTTGTGGAGGAGGGTGAGGTTCATGGATGTTTGTTTGTTGGGGCCAGTCGTCCTGCTGTTGCGGTCTTTGATTAGGAGTGTGCAGGTTGTGTTGACGATGAAGCCGATTATGCCAAGGATTCGGAAGGCCCATTGCAGTCCTAGGTTGCGAATCATGGCGCCGGTTGCGAGGGAGTAGATGAGCCCGCCGAGGCCGGCGCCGGAGAGGGAGATGCCGCTGGCTAGGGAGCGTTTTGTGGTGAACCATTGGGGGACGACTGCTGCCGTGGGGATGAAGAGGAAGCCTACACCCATGCCGAAGAGGATTCCTTGTGTAAGGAAGAGGTGCCAGATCTCGGTGGCGAAGCTCGCACAGATTAGGCTGGCGGTTTCGAGAATGACTCCGCAGAACATTATTGGTTTTATGCCCCATTCTCGAACGGATATTGTGGCGATGGGTGACACTAGTAATAGCAGAGTAATGCTTAGGGATCCCACGAAGGCATATTTCAAGGGTGAAGAGCCGGGAAAAGTATTGTGCTTCAGGTAGTGGGCGAGGAATACGCCGTATGCAGAGTTGAAGCCCCATGAGTGGGCGTTGATCGTGGCTGCTGCTGCTGTGCAGACCCATCCATAGCCACCGTCTGGCGGGCCATTCTGCTCATTCTGCTGCTGACCTTGAGGTTGGGCCTGGCCTTCTGAGGCCTGGTTTTGACCATCCGGTCGTTGGGTATCTTTCTCCATGTTGATGGGTGAAGGACGATGAGAGGTTTCGTCTGGTTAGCATGGCATTATATATCTATCACAGAGGTTATATAACCCAAGATACTATAGTCAGAGTTATATCCACTTTGAATGGAGAAAACGACGTCTCATGCCGTGGATCCGGCTTATATCTATGCGGTGATAGGCCGGACGGCGTTTGATTTATAGCCCTAAGACGCTTCCGGGGACTGTCTCAAGCCGAGACTTGGAACGTTCTTCACGTTGAGGAACTCTTCATCAAGCGTAGCTCGATAGCTTCTCATGTTATCCAGAAGTTGGCTCTAGAACGCAAAAAAGGTGATTGTTTTCAGAAAGCCCTCGAAGTCACGCGCGCAAACAATGCGCCTCACCGCCATCTTTAAATTTAGTCTTAGATATATTGTTTAGCTACGCTTCATCTGAACATTGACAGAGCAATAACTCCCTCATACTAACGAGTCCAACCCATACAACGGATCTTTAACACAACTGGTGGGGCAACTGATAGTCACAAGTGAATAAGCCGAGACTCCACGAGATTAATTAGTTGAAGGTCGCATTAAGTCACTCAAACTCTCTCAGTTTGTCTTGCATTGAAGTGCGAAAAGATTGCGGACTCTATACGGGGTACATTCTAGGTTGTCAATCCGTTGATTCAGTCGATCTCATCGGCGACGCAAAGTCTGGTCCAAACGCCGGATCTCGGCCTTTGAAAATATAATCACCGATCACTGACGCTCTATACATGTGGGTCAACTCTTGCACTGTATTATGCTTCCACCATCTTAGCTACTTAGCTATCGTCATATCTCTCTTAGGACGGCAGAAGATGCACATAAAGATTCGATCAAAGATCGTAGCGGTTATGAACGCCATGCGACAGTAGTGAAACAATAATGTGAAGAACCCAGACAATTCTTGAGTCCGGAAAAACACGATTTTCACAAGCAACATGCAATTCACATCTTCTCGCTATGCATCTCTCACGTAGTAAATGCATATCAGACGTCAATGTCGTCATGACACAACGAGGAATTATCTCAATGGAATTCGATGAGTTTTCCCGGAGAGGTTCATCATAGACATCCCATGTCTGACTGGTGAAGGCAATATATGGCCGGTTTCTAATCTTGAAATCTTGGAGGGTGCTCAGGAGTTTGAACTGTATGAGCTTTTCATTTTCGGGTGATGAGGCAAGCTCTGGTTGCAGATAAAACTCGTTTTTGAAAGGCTGGCTAGCGCATACAAGGCGGTTGACGAGTATATGCGTGTGGTTTCGCAAGCAATTGATGTTAGGAAGGTGGACAGTTTAACTGAAAGGCAGGCGATGAACTAATGATATATATATTGTATGATGCCAAATTTGCTACAGGTTAGCTGTGGAGCCGAGGAAATTGATAGCTGAGAAGTGGGATACGAGACCTTGCTCGAATAAGTGATCACAATAGCTCAGTATCATGAAATAGCGATAATACGAATTGTAGAGGTAATATCGCATAACTGTCAACTACTTCAGCTCCTTCCTACGCCCATGATGGTGATCCCATCGGAACACCCTATTTTAGAAATCCGGCTGCTTAGTACAATGGCATACCCTTCCCTATAATTCTAGTGCGACCTCTGAGGCCAAGCCAACGTGTGCGATATTGCAGCTTGTTAGCCTAGCATACTACTAGTCAAAGGCCCCATCTCTTCTTGATGGCCTACTTTTGAACGAAGGGTATACGGTGGTGATACCCATACGATATTACCAGAACTTCATGTAGCTTTCTGAAGTACTTATAGCTCAATATAGTAACTTCTAGAAGCCACAGTCTTTGAAATGTATAATTTGGAAGGGAACTTATCAAGAAGACAGGGAAGTCGAGTAATCCAGTTTGACCAGCCTAGCAAACAAAACTACTTGAATGCCACTGGAGGACAGTGAGTCCTATTACGAACAACCATGAGAAATGGCTATCAGGCCAAAGAATAAACACATAAAACCAGCTCCTACGCTAAGTCAAAAGAACCAGCCACCGTTGCTATCATATATAACACTAGCTATGGCCATATCCGGAAGTGTCGGATTCTTGAGTCGCCATTCCGATTGATAAGGGCTCATGTCTATATGAGACAACAGCGCCCTAGCCTACTCTGAGCGCGCTAACGCAGAATCACAGGCTCGCATAAGATAGAATCCACATTGTGGGTCCATAAGACGGGCAATTAACGAAGAGCCGGAAGCAAAACCCGAACGTAATAGCGAAAGAAGCGGGAAATTCTTTTGTCGTAGCGGGTCCTTCTCGCGCACCGAGCGGTGGGGAGCTGAGATAAAGGGATTGGGCCAGGGCTTGCCTAGGTAGCATTCATAATGCACAGCGTTGCACACTGCACATAGACCCTGTACTATATGACATAACATATCAATTTATCGGGTATAGAGATCTTAGTATAGCCTTGTTCATGTTGCATCACACAGAGGCAGAGTGCTGTTCTTAACCGGAAGATCGGCTTTTCGAACCAACTTCGTTCCGACATGTCTTGCTTGAAGGCTCCACTAACGTCATTTACATATTCGATGCATCTTTATAAATTAATTCGGAGATTAATTATTACTATCGCCACTCGCTTCCTCGCCGAATAACTTTAACGGCCTAGAGATATTCACAGTAGAGTACTATCTCGTTACTCCACTTAATCTGTTCACTTGGCAGCGTTCCACCAAGTATTCAAGATCCCTTTACAAAAGTGCCACGGCGAGACATCCAGCTAGTACACTAAGCAGCAATCCATCGCGCGAATTGGTAGAAGCAGCTCCAGGGAATAAGCTGACACTCGGCGAAGCGCCGCCAGTCTATATGAAGCAATTTTAGTAGAGTCCCATGCACAAACCCGGGGAAAAGGGAGAAAAAAAAAAGAAAAGAAAAGAAAAATAGAAAGCTTACCGAATTCTGAGAAGGTGTCGCAGAGGAAACCACAGTAGATGCTGCGGGTGTCGAGCTCACCGCACCGCTAGAGCTAGGCTCAACACTAGAGGCAGCAGAGGTTACACCCGTGGTTGCAGCGGTGTCAGTCAATGTGGACGACGGGGATAAGGTGACTGAGTTTTCGGTTTCAGTAGCGCTGGCGCTAGCAGCGGCAGTAGTTGTAGTGGAGGACGCTTCGACAGGGGTGGCGTCCACACCACATCCCGTAGCGGCCTTGGAAACGGACGCGCTGTAATACTTCCAGATGTCGTACTTGAGAGCGCAATTGAGACAGTCAGATAACTCAGTTTTGAAGGTGTCAGTATCGCAGTAGCCGTCTTTACGAGCAGCAACGATCACTCCCCCTGGTTTGATCAGTTGATTGCTATTGAACAAATTTGATAAGCAGAAAAAAAGTGGAACCCACCGCAGTTTGCATGGCAGTCGTATTCAGGCGTACCGGGGTCCTGGCGACGGTGCAATGGGACAAAGTCTGGGTATTGAAACGCATTGGCGCTGACAGCCATGCAGGCGAGAGTGAGGAGAGTAGCGAGATGCATGGTTGGTCTAGCCAATGAGCGAGGGACGCACGAAAAGAGTGGCAATTACTAAATGATTGAAAAAGCTAAAGATGGGTAGTGAGCGAAGACAGTGGGAAAAATAGGGAGATTTAGTGCCTACTTATACACGTTCTAACTGCTAAGAAGATAAAGTCCCGCTTAGGTTGCGCTCCTTAACTGATAGCACAGCGTGGTATCCAAAGTACACAAACGAAAAAGAAAAACAAAAAAAAAAGGTCGTACGACCCTTCGGGGACTGAAGACCCCTCGGGACCGATTCCCAGTCCTGGGATAGTGTCTCACTGAAGCCACGGGTTATGCCGACAGGGAAACAAGAAGAGAAGTACGGAAAGGACCCTCCGAGGCCCTGCTTTGGACTAATCGGAAGTTATTCGTGGTGGAAACGATGTAACTCCAAGAGCGCTAAAAGGGTTAGTGGAGCAGGGCTCCACCCACCATCTTATCTGATTGATCTTATCTGATCCAATCCAGCCCTCGCTTTGCGCCTGCCACGCTTTGTCTACAGGTTCAGTAATCTATTTTGCTTGGCACTATGAGCAGAATTAATTTTTCGCGTAATGTCCTCGATTGTCAGGTATCATTCCACCACGGACAACCATGCCAGAATTTCCGGTGAATGACTTGACGGCTGCAAAATGCCGGAGACCTGAGCGGGGCTTTCATCAAATGAACTCGTCCCTTGGCGAGTGGAAACACATGGCGTTATGACACATGCATGTAGGGCCGTTTTTCGGATCTTCGAGACTTACAGGCGTGGGTGATACTGAGCAGACTGCTGCAGGCTTATAAGTAGCGCGGTTCTGAGCGTCCCAATCCTCTTTCTCAAGGACTTCATACACTCCAAGTCAATTTCCAAGGCTCTGAAAAGCCTCAGCAGGTATCCCCCAACATGATCATGAAAAGTAGCTTTGTGCCACTTGTGGCCTTGTCCTCTGCCATTGGCGCATGGGCCCATGGTGAAGAAGCAGCCAAAGAGATGGGCCCTGTAGCTTTCATGTGGCCGCCAGATCGTGTCTGGGGCGCCGCCTACGATAACACGGCTCCATGTGGCTCATCATCTGGCGTCACAAACAGAACCGACTTTCCTATGGGTGAGTCTCCTTTGAGCACAAAGATATCGCTCCCATCGCTAATGAGTGTGCGTGCTCTAAGTCAATGGCCAACTCGCACTCGTCATCCAAGATGAATCGTGGAACGTTCAGATCGCGATCTCCCACAAAAGCAGTCCGTCAAACGTCCCACATCCCGGTTATACAGGGCATCCGAGCTAATCCTTGTTCAGACCCGAGCACCAATGATGACTTCGAGGCATTCATCGAGGGATCAAGCATCAAAGACATCGAGCCAGGCCATGAATGCTACCCCGTCCCCAACCCCTCTATTGATGTCGAAGAAGGAATGAATGCTACCTTCCAAATCAAGTACACCTCAGATGTTGATACCGACAAGAACGAAACCTACTATGCCTGCGCCGATATCAAATATGTCGCTGCCAGCAAGTTCACAACTCAAGTGCCTTGTTTCAACGTCACAGCGGATGAGTTCACCGCTGTCACCAGTACCACGGCTACCGCTGGTGCCACTGCCACGGCCGGATCATCTAGCTCCTCATCCAAGGACTCGGGTACCAAGGAGTCAAGCTCAGGTCTTTCTGGCGGCGCTATCGCTGGCATCGTGGTTGGTTGCGTGGCAGCTGTGGTGATTGCCATTGCAGTTCTGTTCGGTTCTAGAAGATTCTTGCAAAAGTATCGCTCTTATCGTCAAAAGGCATCTGTTAGAAATGTGGATTGGGCCGAGACTGCTACTGTTGATCCAAAGATGGATAACGAGGGTCTTCGGAAGATTCGGTAAATCTGGTATAGGCATGCACTACCCCTCTTGTGGGTAGGGGGTTCGTGGTCGACAGGTTGGAAGGAAACTCCCTTGATGACTTCTATGTGATGTGATATGAATGGCTGAATGACACCCTTGGCATGGGATATTATATTATGCTTCACTTCCCAAGTCCCTCAAGGTACAAGGGGTTGGGTTGGATATGCTGTGCAATAGTTGTTTGATGAACATCAGAAACAATAACATTCTTTTCTTAATTCAATAATAATATCACGAGATATTAACCCTGGAAGAAGATAACTTGGCTGATTACAATGAAATCATGGAAAATAGCGGTACTGTTCTATAGCGTACCGATTGCTAAGTGGTCGGCCTTTTATTCCAGTCTCCTGTTTCGCCAAATATCTCTCAACCAAAGGTGTTTTATGTGCAAGACATGCGGCTGTCACGTTACCTGGTTATTTCCGCGGGTAGGTCGGAATTCGACTTTTTATCAACCCGCAATAGCCGCTCTAACGTAGTAACCACGAGAAAAACTCTGCTAACTTGTCTTATCTAAGAGAGTAGGGCGTACGCAGGTGGAGAGGCTACTCGAGATATATCATATGTACTTACTTATATGCTCGGTATTTTAAGCATTGACATGGAAGGTGGAGTCCACCGCATCATAGCTACCTAGTATAGTATGGGGTACATAAGAGGAGGCTCAATAATATCTAGTCTGGGGGTTTACGGAGACCCTTGACTTGTAATGACGTCTTGCGCATTGAGGCATTCCATTAGCATTTAAAGAAAGAAGAGTTACTTGTTAGGAGGTAATCGTTCGGCAGATGGTTCTGGCTGAACTACAGTCCAACAATCACAAATAGGGTCAGGAAAGAATAGAATACAGATCACTGGATCAGCCGCATGATTTTCATTGATAGGATTATGGGGCAAACCCCGCTTTTATGCGAGTCGAGGTTAATTAAGGTAAATCTTACCAGTATTGGGACGGACAGCTTTTCTGCCCCTAAAGCACTGCACGATTCGTGATCCTTGTATTTCGCCTCACTAGTTTTTCTTCCTGCCGTTCTTCTACCCCTTATCAACCACCACACCTATTGTGTTCACCATAATGCCAAAATCGCGCCAGGCTAGTGATAACGCCTCGAGACTCGATGGACATGACAGAGTGAATCGGTCAAAACGTGGTTTGACATGTGCCAACTGCCGCGTGAGAAAGGTTGGTTCGATCCGTTATCAATATTCTCACACCGTTTTTCGCTCACCTCATTCAGACAAGATGCGATGGCACACAGCCGGGATGCAAGACCTGCGAGATCTACGGCGTGGAGTGTCGCTATGAAAAGGCCCCACCCATGTCGCAGATCCTTGCCATGGCCAAGAGATTACAAGAAACTGAGCAAACGATCACTGAGCTGCGGGTCGCGTTGCGCGAGGCAAGAGAGGCAAACTTGGCTCAGCATACATTTCCAATAGACCGTCATATTCCCAATACACCCCCAATCGATACCAGTTTCGATAGCGCTTCGCACGCCGAGGCGAGCTCGTCTACACAGGTGGCTTCTGAATCTGAGATGGCGCCGGAGCAGGTATTACTTTCGGATCTCAGTCTCGATGAAAACGGCAAGGTACGTAACGGGTCAACACAGAAAGCCCCATGAACATCCATTGACCCGGTGGCTGTTTGGATAGCTTTGCTACTATGGTCCTACATCCGCCGTCCACGCGCCACCGCCGGTAGAATCAACAAACATAAACGACTCACATTCGTCCATGTCCGACGTCCGGTCACTGCTCACTTCAGCTGCTCTGGAGTCGAGAACCTGGGAAGAATTCGCATTAGGAAATGCATCGATTCAAACCGATATTCCCCGGCAAATGATGTCGAGACTTCTCCAGATCCATTGGACGTGGATTGCGCCGATGTTCAACTGGGTCTATCGCCCAGCATTCATGCGTGAGAGACAGTGTCAGCCCTTACATAAAGCGAGTCTAACTCTATCCCAGGAGATATGGCTATTAGCGGGCCATGCTATTCTCCCTTCTTAGTCGTCGTCATGTGTGCTCACGCGGCACGTTTTGACGATCACCAAATCAGTGAACTCTTGATCTCAAGAGCCCGCCTTCTCCTGGGCACTGAAATACATAATCCCAGCAGCATTCCGACTGCCCAGGGCCTCCTTCAGCTCAGTGCTCGCGAACTCGCTTGGGGTTCGATATCTCAAGCATGGCTTTATAGCGGAATGGCTTTTCGCATGGTTAGCGACCTGGGGCTCCACCACAGCACGACTAAAATCGTGACGCTTGGAAATCTAACTGCGGAGGACTTGGAGATCCGGCGACGCCTTTTCTGGAGCTGCTACTTCTGGGATAAGGCCATAAGCTTATTCCTTGGACGCATGCCCATTCTCCAAGATTTACCATTTGATCGGTGCCCGGAACTTTGTCAGTATTGGACTCGACATCTCGTAGGCATCACACGCTAACCGTCTTTAGTGGATGATTCGGCAGAGAACGATCTATGGGCCCCGTACTATGGTGATCAAACTAGTCCCGATAAGGCGCCCCCAGGGGAATATCCGCCGATGAAGTCTCATTTAGTTTCAAGTTTCCAAAACGTATGCAAACTTGCGGTCATATTAAATGATATCATCCTTCAGCTATACTCCCGTCGTGGAAACATCAACATGGATGAAGCGTTAAACAGAATCCAAGGCAGACTTGACCACTGGAGAGAACAGTCGCCTGTGCATTTAAGATACGACCCGGACAACTTGCCCCAAATCTGTCCCCCGCCTCACATTATCACGCAAAAGTGAGTCTATATCAGGTGCTTCCCGTACAATGTCGCTGACTGAGTTACAGTTTATTGTATTATACCACCATTATTCTGCTACATCGACCTTTCTACTACATTCCAGCGCATCACACTGCTTGCCGCGCAGCTTCAGATAGTATCGAGAAACTTTTGCTTCTCTTCGAGAGGAGCTTTGGATTCACTAGGATTACCTACCTTATGTCTTATTGCATCTACACCGGTGCATCCGTCTTGATGCAAGACGTGAAGAAGGGAGACTTTGACGCTCAAGTCAAGATACAGACATTCCTCCAGGCCCTAAGGCAGGGGACTACAGCATGTCCGGTCGTACAGCGGAGCCTACATATCATCACTAAGAGCCTTAGGGCCGATACAACGAATTTGCCCGATGCTAGACCAGCGTGTACCCCTACCGGACCGACTCCGTTGGCTAGGAATTATCTGCCGGCTTTTCCGTACCCAGACCTCGAACTGGGCTACAGGGCTAACCTGAACCGTGGAAGCACGGATCTTGACGGTTTCACTTTATTGGACTGTTTTCCTGAGGCTCAATATGCGATTATGGACTCCAGGGGAGAATGCTTCTTCCCCCCAGCATAGTTGTACTCCAAACCGGATTGGATAATAAGTTTCATTATTTCCACTATGTATATCTATGATATTGTTCAAGGCCTTCTCATTCGTCGTCATCCCACTGCCACAGCTTTTTTGGGTTCTCTACCCAGAACTTGCGGTCCAATAGTTCTCCAGTGCCGCCTTCGACGTCTTGGTACCACTTTCTACCTCTAGTTATGAATGCCGTATCATCAACATTCCGGCATACTTGCACCATGTTGCGATCTCCTTCTGGGTTGGCCTCCATGCCTGCGCTGCGCGGCCAGTCAGTCACCCAGACTATTCGGTCTAGTGCCGTTAGCAATATGTCGGTTACGTACTCATCGAGGTCGGGAAGACTAGGAAACCGATATGTGCCGCCCCCTTTGGTCCACACTTGCTCCAAGGCGATATACCCCTGAATGATCCATCCAAAGGGCCACACATGGCCGGCCGCTGCTATCATTGCAGCCTTGTTCAGCGGATCACCCCGGGTGCGCATTTTAAGGCGGATACCGCGTACGCCAGCGTTGTGTAACTGTTGCAACACCTCATCCGATACGGTATTCGGATCGATATAAGCCACTGCGCAGCCTTTACCAAGGCGTGAGAGTGCATTCAGAATGGAAATGTAATATGTGTGATAGGCGGAGAATGCAATCAAGCATGCATGCTTAATACCCAAGCTGCGGTGAAAAGCCTGTAGACTAGATAACGGGGCTTTATTGGGTCAGAAGGGATGTAGTGGATGCAATGGGAATTGATCTTCATCCACAATGTGAACGTGGCTGTCCCAAGCCTCTGGGGGCGGAATAGTGTCGACGTCGATAGACGCCAAGGCGTCAAGATAAACAAATTATTATCGATTAAATTTAAACTCAAGCTGTCCAAGTGAAGGTGTCCTCTTTATCAACACTTAGGGTTTCGAACCCAGTCACTACCTTGTGTCTCGTATTACTTCGTGATCTTATTATAACCAGGTTCAATAATGATTCGATGTTTAATCTGCGGGTCACTTTTACGGATCCCGGAAAGTTGCTGGGGGAATGACCGCGGGCATGATGTTATAACAGAGAAGCTTTCAGCTATCTAGAGAAAACCCTAACTCCCCGCAAGCTCATGCATGGTTCACCTTTGACTGTCTCTCTCCACAAATATTCATTGTTGGCTCGTCTGGGGGATGACCGGGGAAATACCCACAGGACGGTCTGTATCGGGATCGGAAGTTTGGAAGCCTGAGCCTGGAGTTGCGGTTGATGTTACTGAGTTGGCGAATAAAAGTCCTGTGTTTAGTTTTATTACCTATGGTAAGGTTAGGGCTTGGACTGGTTGTTTATGTGGTTCAATTGGAAGTTATGAATAGCAGTATGCCATGATCTGTGGTGCTTCGATGTCAAAGGTGTGCCAGAGTAAACTGCTATGCATGTCAAGAACTTCGAAGGTATGTATGTATACACTCGCCAGCGTAAAAACCCAATGGCCCTCCCATACTAAATGCAGCTGAAATACAACATACTCTAGCCATAAAGTATGTAGACATGTAATACAATCCACATTTAGAATGGTAACTCGTCAAACATCGTTCCAGACGTCCTCTATTGACATAACGACAGTTAAGCAGACAATACACTCAATCGTAAACTACATAAACAACCAAATCACGAAGTTTTACTCATCTCCTCCATCTTAATCTGAACCCCAGACTGCAACCCCAAATAATGCAAGGCATCGACCTCAGCCTTAGTAAAAGGAATGCCGTCCCTCCTCCTCCTCCTCCTCCTCCTCCTCCTCTCCTCGACTTCCGCCTCCATCCTCCCACTAACATAAATCCTCTCAAAGCCCTCTACCTTCTTAACCCCCCTCACAGTCCTCAGCAACGTATCCATACGCTCCCTAAACTCCTCTACCCCATCATCAAGAAACACCTCCGGCCGAAACACCAAAAACCAATGCCCAACCCCCTGTGGTCTCCTCATCTCCTTATACTGATCATTGACCCCCCCGCGCAAAAGCCGCTCCACTCATCACCCCGGAAAAGATATCCATCATCATTGCCAACCCACTCCCCTTGGGGCCCCCCAATCGGCAGAACCACGTCCCCTTCCAACGCCACAGCAGGATCCGTCGTCGGCCGTCCCTGCACATCAAGCGCACATCCCTCAGGAATGGACCCCCCCCCCCGTCTCGCAGCCTTCCTCATCTTCCCCCCCTCGCCGCAACACAAGACGACATATCCAGAACAAAATCCCCCTCCACACCACCAGGAACCCCCACCGCAAACGGCGACGTCCCCAGCAACGCCTCCGCCCCTCCCCACGGCATCATTGCCCGACTCGCATTCGTGTACGCGAAACAGGTGAACCCCCTACTTAATGACACGCAGCACGTACGTAGCCCCCATGCCGTAGTGGTTGCTGTTCCGGACGGCCATCATCCCCATCCCGTAGGTGTGTGCCATCTCGATGCATTTGTCGATTGCCAGACTGCCCGCCCACAAAGCCGGAAGGTGTTTTTGGCGTCCAGCAGTGCCATCGTTGGTGTTTTGGTGTGGAATGTTAGTTCTGGGGCTGGTGCTACGACTCCGGCTTGGAGGCGGGCGATGTACCCTGGGAGCCGGTTTATCCCGTGTGTATCGACGCCGCGTAGGTCGGCTAGTATTAGGGCTGTGGCGATTAACTCGGCTCGGTCTGCTGGGACGCCGTGGGAGGTTAGGATTGCTTTTGCTAGGGCTATGGCGGAGGTGGGGGTTATGTTTATGGTTTGGGGTGTTGGGGGGGGGGGGGGGGGGGGGGGGGGGGAGGGGGGGGGGGGGTTCAAGCATTTTGATCATGGTGTTGTTGGTATTCTTGGTTTGATGAAGTAGACTGCGGGTAAGGGGCGGATGGAATTGGGTTGGGTATTGTGCGGTTATAATTGTTCTTATTTCTTGGTAATATAATAAGATTGTATACTATTAATATTAGTATTCATATTAAATCCAGTAGTTAAATAGAGTTCTCGATCTATCTCCCGGTGAGTTCCCGCGGCATATCGATAGGTTGGCGGAGAAGGTGCTGCCGCTTATGGAGAGGCAGGCTGCTGCTGATGAGAGGATCTTAGGGGTTGGGTGAGTTCTGTTGAAGCGAGTACGACGCATCAGGTGTAGTTTACTTTAGATTTAAGGTTGTTGTACGGAATGTTGGTGTGAGAGGTTGTTGTTGGTCATTGGTTAGTTAGGGTTTGGTTACAGTTTCTTGTATGAATTGCAGGATGCTTGGGTATAGACGGTGTATGGTAGTCATTGACTTGGTTTTTTGAGGTTTATGGTTCTTTTATTTTTCCTTTTGAAGAGATAGATATGTGTGTACTTCTCATGTGTGGAGGTATGGTATAACTTTGTCAAGTTGCCAAAAGTACATATGGGGCTATTGAAATATTCAAGTAAATTAGGGAATTAGGGTCGGTGCAAGCATATCCAGGGAAAAAGAGAACCATACACTATGTGCATTGTACGGTACACATATTCGATAAATTTTATCACAATCTAAACATCAATGTACGTCTTTACCAGGTACATTTAAATAACCATGGTAATGGACACTAACAATACGAAGGTGTGGGTGGGGAAGAAGAAAAAAAAAGAAAAACATACAACAGAAGGGATTCGCTGGTGGTCACCCACCCAACTACTAACCTTCCGGCGTGTGGCTTAAGTACGGCTGAGCGGACGGGAAGCCCTGTTTTCCACACCCTATGGTCGTATGTACTAGTGTTTTACTTGCATAAATTTATATACAACTTATAGAAGAAGAGAAATCAATGCTTTTGGCTCACATAAGAAATTATGGTATAAAATAAAGTGATTTGAGCTTATCGATAAGGTTAAGGTCATAGCACCCGCGTCACGCGGGCAACGAATCACAGCACAGGAAACTGCAGAAGAACCAATCAGCAAAGAATGTGGGCAAAGATAAGGTTGTGAGACCCTGAAAGAAACAACAATCAAAAGTCAAACAGTACAAATGCAGATACCGGTATAATAGTTTTGTTGAGACGGAAACTACTGTGGAGCTTCCCAGAGGATTCCCATGTCTGGTACGGAATAAATAGAAAAAAAAAAAAAAAATTAGTATACTAGCGCTGGTGCCTGGGGCTGTGGCTGTGATCCCGCATTCGAGCCGCGCCGATTAACTGAAACAAACTCAACTTCCCCTGCCTGGTGCACGCGGTATCATCCTCGTCTCGCCCACTCACATTAATTCTCTCCGTTATTTCTCTCCCCCCAATCCAATGTCTGGAGGCTTTGTTGAGCATGGGAGCACATGATAAGTACGTAATTGCGTGGTCGCACATATGATCTGTCCCCCATCCAGCCGCTTACTCGCTTGCTTTTGAACAGATTTATTGGCCTCGCACTGGCTGTGCTGGCTTCGGTAGCTATTGGTATGTGTTTATTTATATTTTTTTTTGTCTTTATTTTCTTCGTCTAAGAAAAAGAAAATTACCGGCCCGGTTATACACGCTTGAATAACTGGCTGACGACCGCAATGGGCAGGTTCCAGTTATGTCATCACCAAGAAGGTACGCCGCGGATCGCATCTCGGAGGAATCAAATACCTGACACAGTCAACCAGGGCCTTGTACAAGCGGCGGAGAAATATGGCTTCAGTGGAGAAGGATTTGAATATATGCGAAGCCCGCTATGGTGGTGTGGCATGATCATACGTATGGCTATTAGTCGTGCTACCATCGCCAGAGTCTGACGGTTACAGTGATATCGGGAGAACTCATGAACACAGCCGCTTATGCTTTTGCTCCGGCAGTGCTGGTCACTCCGCTCGGGGCGCTCAGTGTACTTATCAGGTGAGTCCTGTGGCTCCAAATCGTATTTCCTACGCTAATCAGTCCCAGTGCGTTGATGGGCGCATACTTTCTCAACGAGAATATACAAGTCCTCGGGAAACTCGGAGCCGCCATCTGCCTTTTGGGATCGATCTTGCTAGTGCTCCATGCGCCGGGTGACAGGGACATTCAGACCATTGAGGAAATCCTGCACCTAGCGATTCAACCAGGTCGGTTTCTCTGGGATGACATTTTGATATCGACAAACTAATGGCTTCGTATAGGATTCCTCATCTATTGTATCCTTGTCACCGTGTTTGCCAGTTACATGATCTACAAAGTCGCCCCAAGGCTGGGCCGGACAAACCCGCTGGTCTATCTGTCGATTTGTTCTACCGTGGGATCTATATCCGTCATGTCCGTGAAAGCATTCGGAATCGCTGTCAAGCTCACCTTCGCCGGAGACAACCAGTTTACCCACGCGTCCACTTACGTTTTCTCCCTGGTCCTGGTAGTCACCACCCTAACCCAAATGAACTACCTGAACAAAGCGATGGGTGAATTCCCTGCGTCGCTGTAAGTATCTAAAACCCCCAACATCAACAAATAAACACTCACAGCCACACAGAGTAAACGCAATGTACTACGTCGGTTTCACAACCTGCACCCTAACCGCCTCCATCATCTTCTACCAAGGCCTGAACACCAGCGACTGGACCAACATTACCTCCATGATGTGTGGATTCCTCCTCAACTTCATCGGAATCTCCTTGTTGACTTTGTCCAAAACCGGGCAAGAGGCCCGTCCCGAGTCAGTGCGAGCCGTGAGCATGAGGTCGCTAGATTTATCCCATGGGCGATATGATCATGTGCGAACCAGCAGCGTCGATCTTCCCCATCCCCTGGAGAGAAGGTCATCCGGCCTGGACGCCGCAGAGCGACAGTAAGGCCAGACTTGCTATTATAGGAACTATTTCTTTTTATTGCTTTTTTTTTCATTTGTTTTTTTCCTTCACACTCCCGTGTCGATTTTGGAACATTCAGCGTGAAATCGACCACCTCGCTTCTGGTTCGGAGTAACTTCGGACTTTTTGCTTAAAATCGATGGGCCACTGGAGGGCCCTTGAATATACCCTAGATAAAAATCTAACTGTCCTAGTAGATGGGACATGATATGTATGTATGAAATAAGAGAAACTATAAAATGATCTTAAACTAAGAAGCATAGTAAAGAGTTTCACGGTAGCATACCGCCTACGTTTAGCTTGCTACCAGTACTCTTGTGTAGTGACCTTCGGCGATGGCAAGTTTCACAATCGCATACTTGATCTCTATTTTATCAGATTCCCTGGTGGGAGTATTGATATTTTCTTTGTATGAGCTTGGCTAGCCAATATATAGGTTTTTGGTTTTTTATTGGTTCGTCACGATGTGTTTATTAGACTCTTCTTGATCAAGTCTATCTCAGATATATATATATATCTTAAAGGGAACTGAATTGATTCAGCTGAAGACTCCAGTTCTGTCAATATGACAAGATCTGGACCCTCCATACGCTCCTTTAAAGGGAATGATGTATCACAAGTCTCGATATAGTAACTATACAACCCTACCACGACTTTCTCTCTTAGTACTAGACGTGATATTAACTATTTTTGAAACAGGATATGCTTATTTGTTTATTTTGGACTATATATGAAAATAAAGGGTCATTTCTCAACAACATCCGATATGGTGTAATGGCTAACATCGCTGTCTCTCACACAGCAGCTCGGGGTTCGATTCCCCGTATCGGAATAACTTTTTGATTTCTTTTTGTTGTATTGGATTAATCGATCGATAACGATTTCACTTTAGTACCTTGTATTGGCTTCTTATCTTCCTTTTTGAATGTCCGAGGGGTGGGTCACTGTGTACTGTTTGCCCTTCTACTATATATAGACCTAGACATAGATATCAAGACCAGTTCATTCCAAACCAAACGCCCGAACTAACAAAACGAAACCCATAATGACAAACCATGCAGACATACAAAAATCACAAATGATAATACAGCCCAAGGATGTATGCAGGCCCCATTAAACAAACCTCTATCTATCCTCCCCCATCTACCAACCTTCCCAGAACCCACAAACAAAACCTAAGCAGAAGTACTCGACCTCTTCAACCCCTCCTTAACCTCCTCCATCAACGCAAGCAACTCCTTAGCCCCATCCCCACTCCTCGGCTCAAACTCCAACCCTTTATCAATAGCAACCTGCGCCTCATCCCACCGTCCCATCTCAGCCAAACACTTCCCAGCCCTCCACCAAGCCTTCACATTCCCGACTGGCTTACTCTCAACACTACACTTCGCATCGACCAGACCTTCCGCCCACGCCTGCTGCGCCATATACGCCTGCGCGCGGTTCGCAAACAACCCCGCCAGTTCCTCTCTCGCAAGACTCATAGGCTCCCATCCGGGCCGCGCGATCCCCATCTCGATGGCAAAGGTGTATAACCGCACCGCTTCGGCGTAGTTGTCCTTGCGGTAGGCGGTGTTTGCGCTGTCACGGAGCTTGGTGATTTGGGCGCTGCGCTTGGGGTTGATGGGGAGTGGGGGTGGGGGGATGCTGGGCGGGTCGAGGGAGATGAGGCCGCGGTGGAGGGCATTGAGTTCGGTTAGTTCGTTGGTTACTGTGTTTGCTGAGGCTGGGGTTGTGTTTTGTGAGGAGAGGTTGATGGCTTTGGAGGTTGGGTCCAGGACTAATGGGTATTGGTTGTATATGTCGATGCCGTCGGCCATTTTGGGGGTGTTTTCTTGGAGCGTTGGGATTGGAGTGGTATTTGTTTCTTTTTGAGAGTTGGGGTTGGTTGGTGATTTTGGTTGGTGGCTATTCTGGTGGTTCTTGGTCTGGTTGATAGGTTAGTTTGGGTGGTGGAAGTATGAATTTGGGGGGGGGGGGGTTTACCTGGTAGTTTATCTTGGATAGGCTGAAGTAGAAAGTAAAATTAACCTTATGGAAGCGCCTATACAGTCTAAAGGTCAGGCTGTATGGATTGTTAAAATAATATGGTACGAGGACGAGACCGCAAGCTGTCCAGAACAAGTAGCGTTGATACACAAGGCGGTGAAGAACTGCCGGCATTTTGCCATCTGTCCACAGGGTTGTGGATGCTTATTGGTTGTTACAGCCAGGCACTGTGTAGCGTTTTGAGGTGAAACAAAAGATAGTCTAGTTCATAACAAGTGATATAGTACTAGCTAAATTATAAATCAAACATGCTGTTTCCCGAGTGGCTCGGAACTTCAACAAAGCAGAATGTCGTCAAAATCATCAGTGAACATGCGACCTGCCCGGGTCTCAATTCTAATCAATCACAGCATACAATCATCGCCCGGACACGGAAAGAATCATATGTAGAACATCTGTATCAAAACACTTTCCAGAATAAAACACAATACAGCACGGGTATGCGCCGCAACACCGCTCCATGGTTATTTGAGGTACAAAGTCGAGAGTTTTCGAGAGGGGAGTTAGATTAGCGTCCGTAGCCGCTCACACTGGAGCCCATGCCCCATTCCGATGGCGGTGCGTATTCCGAGTTCGGAGCGTAGTGTTGCCCATGGGCACCACCATAGCTGGTAGCGGTGTTGACCGTGTTGTAGTCATGAAGGACGCTTCCGCCGGCATTGGAAGCGGTGGGGTCGTAGGCGCCGTGCATCGCGGTGCGCCCGTTCGGGTTTCCGAACTCATCTACCTCGCTCTGGTGCAGGAGGGCATAGTCTTCATCTCGGTCGGAACGGACGGAAGAGCCCATTCCGCCAGCTCGGCCGGACCGGAAATCATCCTCTTCCTCGAAATCATGGGCGGGATTCGACGAGAAGGCGGCCTGGCTCTGCGCAGCGAAAGTAGGGTCGGAGACAGCATCTGGCAGGGTTCCGGTCCGGCGGAAGTGCATCACGTTACGGAAGGACATAAATGCGGTCACAATGAACAGCAAACTGTAGACACCTTAGGTTAGCAATGCCGCAAGCTGGTTTACCTCGGAATCTGAGACGTACAAGATGACAACCCCCATTATACAAGTAGCCGTGCTGATTTTGCATTTGCTGGCACTGCCGTACTTCCAGTTGTCGCATCCAGTTTTCTTGTCACTGTCCTTGTTCTTGTCCTCTTGGTTGCTGTCTTTACCCTCGGATTTCCCCTGCGCGACATAGCTGGCAACGCAGACCCATGCAGTAAACCATAGTAAGGCATACAGGCAGTCGACAGTCGCAAAGGCGTAGACATTTCCGAAACGGCGTGCGCGCGGCCACATAGGCACTGCGACGAGATAGATGAGACCAGGGATGCTAAACCAGCACTATAAAAAATGCCGTTAGTATGACGTGTCGTCAGCTTGCGCTGAACAGAGTTGATAAGCATACCAAAGCCCAGTACCAGGCTGATCGACCATCAATACCATCACCTTTCGTGAACACGGCAATGGTACAAGCCCATGCTAAGAAGATAATAAACCCTTGAACTCCATGAATGATGTTTTTCGTCCGCCCAGGATTAATCGAGGGTCGTGCTAGTTTCATGATTGCGGAATGTGAGGGGATACGAAGGGTGGTGCCTGACAAAGAAGAGGGCTTCCTTCACGAGGAAACAGGCTGAAAGATCGCTAATGGAGATGAGGCCTGTGGAGATTCTTTGTAACTGACAATAGACCGTAGATATGTAAGTTGGAATATAGTGGTTGTATAAAAAAAAAAAAAAAAAGAGGAAAAAACCGAAAAAAGGGGACCAGATCGTTAACAGCGTCAGAAAGTGGTGGAATGCAATTGTTTATGCGAAGGCTGTAAAAACGGACGACGAGGGCAATCAACGGGGCAACCCGATCGATGCCGCGCGGACGCTAAAATTCACGGATGGAGACTCGGAGGCTTTGCCAACACAGCCGATGTGGTAAAGTGGCTTGCAATTGTCCCAACTCCTGAATGATTCAAACGGTCATACACAACCACAGCTTCATATTGAACGATCAGAGACAGAAGAATGAACGAGATGTAGCTCGATGCAAGGAACATCAATTTGGAAGTATTGAGGAAGTCATGCCTTTACCATACTTGTACCTACGCGGGTGTATCTAGATAACCGACCTTACCATTTCTAGTCTAGTGGCCCTAATGGCCACAGAAATAGAAGCAGAGGTGCATTAAATGCACCAGGAATTATGAACGCTATTGAACCCAAATCACTTGTCATTTTAATACAACCCAAAAGAAATAACATTGTTATTAATCCAGGCTGGGCTGTGGGCCTCAATTGGAAATACACGTCATTGACCTATATTCATCTTTAGTTGGGCACCATTGAGGGCACTAACGCTTTTCAATCATCTATTTATTCGTTTAAATCCAGCTTTTATGAAAGCCAGATGACTAGGATAGGCCGAATTTGCAAGGCAACGCCCATTTGATCTCCGTAGACGGTCCTTGGCATTGTTGTTTCAATCATCATCGTGGTGTGGTGGCAGTGCACAGCAATTCCATCACAGCCACGGAAAATATCCACCCCGTAGAAGGCAGCAATATATATCTAATTATGTGCTCCGTACTCCGTAGAACTGCTCGATATGTAGCAAATATGACTTGGGATGCCAAGACATATCTATCATCACCAATACGAATACTGAGATTGTAATATACGGAGTAACTCTGGGTGAGGGAGAAAAAGCAACCACCAACCGCCGCACAGTCAACAAATATAAAAGTTTTTAACACTATACATTGTACTAATTTTAAAAAAAGTCTTTAATTCAATTCCCCTTCTCTACTACATTGTAGCAAACCCCAAGACTAATCAAACTGGATTCTATCATTATGTGGAAAGCCATAACGCGAGGTGTAAACAGTTCAATAGAGTCACAGCCTTGCCTGTATGAGGCTGGCCCCAGGATTCGCGCCAGCCGTGGCAAGATGGGGTCAACGCCGACGTGTCCCCCATTGGCAAGCGGCAATCGAAGGAAACTACTCTAGAAAAAGACGGGGAATTCGATGACCCAGAGCTTGGACCAAGAGCTTTGGATGAACTGTAGAATGACTACAAACAAGACTCAGCCGAGACCGCTGAATGCCCTGTGTCCGAGACCACGCCTACGGATGAGAAAGCGGTCGATCGAAGCGATAAATCCGGTAATACAGACCTTTGGCAGAGAGCTTTTGACGAACCGAGTGAGGGTTTAAAAGGACGGCTGCGCGAGAACGAAGCTATATCTCCGGCAAATGCCATTGAAGAAGTCATCAATAGCACAAAAGTGAGCTTTGAAGCATATCAAAATGGAGGACTGAAGTTCAAGAAGTACGATGGCAAAGAAGTCAATGTTCACGATGTGGCCAGAAAGATTCTCATGTTGGCTATTCAATGTTCAGATATTATCAAAGGCCTAGCAGCCTTTGATCCTAGTAACCATGGTAAGTAGCCCTAAACACATCTAAAATGGACACGTATTCATTGGTGTCCAGCTTCAAGCGCGTGGGGAATCGTCTCGCTTGGATTGACGGTAAGAAGTGTTGTTTTGGTTGCCACTATATCAAGCTCACCTTGAATCAGATGGCCAAAAATTTCATGGATCAAAGAGAAGCTGCCTTCAAATCATCAGAATTCCTTGCTGATATCCTGGCCCGATACGTTATACTGGATGGTTATTGTCGCACAAAGAAGCTACCAAGCTCTGTTGGGCTCGATGATGCTATTGTAAAAGTGTACAAAGCAATTCTCGAGTATACAGCGGAGGTGAAAAAGCGACAGAGCGCAAGCGTTTTGAGTGCATGCCTATAGTTCTCCTGGTGGTCGCTCAAACTGGTAAGAATTAGATCGCATAGGGAACAGTGTCTTTCCACTTTCCGACACAGAATTGAACAATCTCCTGTCGACCGTGCAGGATCAGGACCAGAAAGTCAGCAATTGGAGTCAAATCAACCATTACATATGTGAGCTACGCACCCGAGGTTATTGCTGCCTATCGCTAATGCTTTAAAGATCAAAGTACCAAGGGGGACGAAATACTCGCCAGTATCGGAAAGGTCCATCAGAATACAGAGATAATCAAAGTCAAAGTCAATTGTACGACTCATCTTTATCTGCTTAATCATCTAGCCTAATTATTGCAGTGGACCAACAGCATAAAATTCTTACGTGGCTGTCTGATATACAATATTCTTATACTCAGAATGATCACCAGAATGTTCGAACAGACAACACTGGTGATTGGCTTTTGAGTTCGGGTGAATATAGAAAATGGAAGGCTACACCAGGCAAAACTCTGGCGCTATATGGACCTGGTGAGAAATCTTTCATCAGCCCTGATAATATTCTCTAAACGAATAACTACAGCTGGCTGCGGAAAATCGATTCTTTGGTAGGTAGACCGCTGTGGTAAAAGACCAACAACTAATAAATCCAGTTCTACCGTCATTAAAGATATTGAAAAAGATTGCAGCAATAATCCGTCCAGTATATTTTCCTACTGGTACTTCCAATTCAACCTCAACGAGACTCAAAATGTGAAAAACATGACTAGAAGCATTATTCGACAACTGATACCTGAGGAGTTTCCAAGATCACTTGTCAATCTATGGAAAGAACATGATCGTCAAAACCGTGACCCAGACCAAGACGAGTTCTTAACGGTTCTCGATGATGTTATTAACAGTCATACGGGAGATCATGTTTTCCTGATATTTGACGCACTCGATGAATGTCCTGACAATGAGGCCTATGAGAGGAATATGCTGTTTCAGGTTCTGAAAGATCTCATTGATAAGCACGGTAAAAAGATCCATCTTCTGGCAACAAGTCGATACGAAGAGAATATTCGCTGCCATCTAGAGGAGAGTTTGAAAATAGATCTTGAGGACCGAATGAACGATGATGTTGAGGCTTTTGTCCGCGATGCCCTCGACCATGGAAAGCTGAGCAGATGGAAAAAAGTAAAGGGGGTCAATGATCAAATTTTGGCAAAGCTTTTGGACACAAAGGAACCAAGGTATTGTCATGCACGATGTTGCTCTGAGCAGAATATTTTGCTGATATCTTCCCTCTGCCAGACGTTTTCGCTGGGCTGACCTACAAATCAAACGACTTGAAAAATGCAAAACAAACGCTCAAATCACGGAATCACTTGAAACGATTCCAAATACGCTAGAAGAAACATACCACCGAATCCTTCAAGAGATCCCTGAAGATGAACAGGAGTACGCGCGTACAATACTCACATGGCTCAGTTTCTCTTTTGAGCCACTTGAGCTAGAGACAGTCGCCGCAGTGGTGGACTTTCCACATCCTGAGGATGTTGTTGAAACTTGCACTACCCATCTGGTGACTGTCAGTCCATCAACTGGGACCATCAAACTCGCCCATTTTTCAGTCAAGGAATTTTTGGTTGTCTCACATCCTAAGCATTGGTATCAGCTAACTACAATTGGTGGCCATATGGACATAGCTAATCGTGTTCTTGACGATCTGCTTGGTAAAACCGAGCTTCTGAGTAAAACACCTAGACATGGTCTACAGCTCTCGAAGTATGCCGCAGACCATTGGGATGGACACTTTTCTGAGCTTACTGACTATGGTGCCAAATTTCCGGACCTAGACAAAAAGATATATCGCCTGTTCGAAGAGCGCATAGTCTACTTAAACTGGCGGTACATGGCTCGAGCTGGGCGTCTGTTGCCACGGTATATAGAAAATGATGTTGTTGAACCGCCCATCTACTTGGCCTGTCATATGGGCATCCAAAATGTTGTTGAGAGACTCCTCTCTCAAGGGGCTAAACCTTGTACAGAATTTTATGACAGCGGCGGATTTAATTGGAGCACATTTAGAGCGGCTGGTTGGAATGGTCATCTTACTATCCTAAACCAGTTGTTAGGGAAAATCGAGATTTCGGCGAAAATAGCTGTGGTTATTGCGAGGTCTATTGATCTCAATATGGCTTTGCCTGAGGAAGTTGAAGCCCTCCTGAATAAACTTTTGAGCAGCAAAAGTCTTGTATGACAGCTCTGCAAATGGATGTGCTCTTTTGAATGAAGATTTTGTTGCAGTCGCAGCGGGGAACCGCAAGTCAGGCTATCGGTTCATGTGCCTTCTTTTGGATAGGCAAGATAAGCTAGAGGTTCCTGTTACCGAGAGAGTTCTTCGAGAAGTCATACATAACTATGATTATGAATGCGGTGAAGAAACGATGCGGATACTTTTGGACAGGAGACGAAAAGACATCCAAATATCCAAAGGTCTAATGAGGGCGATAGTTTATCAATCTTACTTAAACCCTGGTATATTAACTCTGATTCTTCAGTATTCGGGCGCTACGGTTCCTTTGGATCTATGGATCATCGGTGATTTTATATCATGGGCACCAGCGGAGGTGGTGGAATTGCTTTTACAGATCCGTGGTGATGAGATTCAAGTCACAGAGACGTTGTTAATGAATGCTGCTGATGCTGACTGGGATAATGATACAGCGTTTCGCTTGCTGTGGCAGAAAAGGGAGCCTGACATTGAAATCACCTCGACAATTTTGCAGCGTATCGCATCCGGGTACAATGGCTTGAAATGTATGGAAGTTGTACTCACGGAATGCGCCCGAGGCTATTTTCTTGAACATGAAGTGCTCCAAGAAGTGGCAAAGTCTAAACATGGTCTTCCGCTGATGCGAATGCTTTTGAACAAACGAGAGGCAGGACTGGTTGCTTTTGATATTTCAGAGGCAACAATGATAGCAGCTGCTTCTAACCAAGACTGGCCACAACAGATGATGGAACTGGTCATCAACAACGCGGACTCGGAAATTTTAATCAACAAGAAGATTTTATACTCAGCTATTAGCAATTACTTGAAAGGAGAATCTGCTTTGAAGTATTTGCTTGGGCATTATAAGAATCTGCCGATCACGGAGGAAGTATTGGTATCAGCCGCTGCTGATGGAAGACACAACGTACTCAGATTCCTTTTCAACGAATTTCCACATGCTCCAGTGACAGATCGTGTCTTCAAGGCAACTAAGTCGGGGTTTAAGGTGTTGTCACTCTGGTTAAAAGGAGGCCATCATGTACAGGACTGCCAAGTGATAGGGAGTCTTCTGGAGCAAGGCATTGTGAGCTTACAGGAATTGACAGAACTACTTGATGAAGGGCTAGTTGAAATCGATGACAAGCTTGTGGATGCAGTGGGGATCCAGAAAGCTCTGATTATGGCATTACACGGGCACTATGCGATGGAAAAGCTCTTGGATTTACGAGGAAATGACATCGCAGTCCCCGAAGAGGTTGTATTGAAGGCTCTGGATGAAATCCGGGTGGATGATGAGGCCTTTAAAATGTTGGCCGACCGACTAGGATCAGCAGTACCACGTACAGAGAAGATTTTGCGGAAAGCTTTTCTGAATGATCAATCTAAACTCCTGGATTTGTTGCTGAAAGATGGGCGAAATTGGAATCTTGAAAATGTTTGGGATACGATTCGGCGAGGTGATAAAGGCGAATTTGGGTGCATCGTGAGAGCCGCGAATGCTCTACTGCAATATGGAGAATTTGATCTTTCACAGACCTTGTTGGAGTTCCTTCCGTTTCAAGTTGATAAATACTTTGGTTATAAGGACCTTCGCGACTTGGCCAATCTATGTGCTGGACGAGACATATCAGCCCCCGCTACTGAAATGCTCGCAGAGATACTCTTTGGAGGTGCTCCTGAGGACACCATTTACATATGCATCGATGGACTGCGTTTAGCAGTACCCACATCAGAGAAGGTTTGGGATGCGCTTTGGCAAAATGATATCAGCCTTATGCACAAAGTGAGGGTTTCAAAGATTCTTCTGCAATATGGACAACTCGATATTTCACAGACCCTGCTGAGGTTCCTTCCAATCCAGGCTGAGAAATACTCCAGTGATAGGGACCTTGATGAGTTGGTTAATCTATGTGCTGAACGAGACATATCAGCTCCTGCTGCTGAAATGCTCTCTGCGCTACTTTTTGCAAGGGGCTCGGAGTATATAATCAAGAAATTTATTGAACATAAACCCACTATCCAACTCACAGATTACCTTCTTGGGCTTGCGTGTAAGAATGAACGGATAGACACGACGGTTTTGATGCCTTTCCTCTACTCGAAAAGAGCCGCGGATCAGAATGTCAAGGTTGAAAGTCAGAAGCAGAAGACTAGCTCACGTTATTTTGAATCACCAAATCTGTCTATTTGAATGGATTTCAATTCAAGCATGGTCATTTGAATGATACTTCCATATATGCCATATGAAAAGGACGAACATAACAATATCGACCTTTTCATACTATAGTGTAGGCCAAGGCACGTTGGAGACAATCTTTTAGCTCGGTGGTATGTGTCAAGCTTTTCAGTGAAGAATGGCAAATTATCCATAAGCCAGATCTAATCCACCGTAGTTATTCACCACCATCACTAGAGAATACAGAGTAAACGCGGTCCTATTGTTGGAAACCCGGAGAGCCACACATTATATCCATGCTTTACAATCCACATGAGGATTGCTAAGCGAGTTGATAAGCTGAAAGCTCATCCAAAATCAAGTAAATTCCATTTTTCATATCATAACATCATTTCGTTAAGGGTTCGTTCATTTTGTGTTCATGAAAATGTGCAACAATGACAATAATTCTTGAAGACGCCATTTGGTGCTCTCTATAATACCATCCGTCGTACTTGTGCTCATATCCCAAAGATCTCCAGCCACGGAAAGGTAAATAATACTGGCAAACAAAATATAAAAGAAAAGCTTAGAAAGGCGGAGTGACCAAGTGGGTACTCCTACAATCTCTTGACATTTTTCCTGCTCAAAACCAAGTCTAATTCTTTCAGTGGTTGATAGATATGTGCATTCCACCACCATGGCAGCGGATCAAGGACCGAGAAACGAGGGTCCTTCCAGAATAGTAAGAGATCACTTCCCTGGCTGACGAAATGGTCGAGTTGCTGGGCAACCGGGTAAAGAGAGGGGAGCACTCTTCGAACATCACATTGCTTAAGCGTCTCGTAGAAGCTGAGTTGGCGACGTGGGATTGATGATATGCTTGCTCTAGCTTGCATCCGTTTTCTGTCCAGGTCCGCGGACGTATCATCTGGCTGTGATGAGAGAACCGCCAAGTATCCATCGATTAACGAGGGGGACGGTTCTTCTAGAAGATACTTAACAGCACTCGTACCTTGAGTGCAGCCAGCAATATGAGTTACGTAGCGTACATTGTTAGCATCAAATTCTTCGTCGACCATTAACCGCAGGCATAGATGGCCAGTCATCCGATGGCCCCCTTTTGATGCGAAACGGTCCATGAGTCGGTGAATTGCCAATGCAAGCCCCTCGTCTAGACGGGAATGGCCCCAGGGTTGGTTGTCTGCTGGACGAATTTTAATGGCTTTAACCTGTCCACCAACAAGCAGCAATTCAGTGAAGAACTCTCCCAGCCGAGCTTGTTGCTGCAAGACCCATGGCCGATCTTTTGAAATTTGGATCTCGCTGACTTCCGTATAAGTCATGCTTAGGGTCCTCTTCGGTAATATGACGACTTTGTTGTCGCTCACAGTAAGATCTGGTCGGCGCATATGGTAGACCTTGCTCGGCGAGCGGTGCAAGATCTTGTGTATAGAGTCGCGCGACTGCACTTGGTGGTTTTCTACCACGGGTAATTCCTTTTCGACTAGATACTGAGTGAAGGATGCCGTGTCGCTAAACTGATTCACCAGATCCGTGTCCAGGTGGATGCATTTACAGGCCGTTCGACTTTCAATTGCCTGTTTGGCCATTGCGTCTTCCAGAACGCTCGCCCGCGACGAACAAGGAATCCAGATATCGGCTTTCTCCCTGTGGATGATGTCGAGCAGGCGGGACACATAGTTTGACCTCGGGATGCGATAGAAAGTGGCTAGGGTTTTCGACATGCCTTCGCCCGATGCGAACGGGAGATCTGTGATGTCGGCACCCACCACCCGATGGCCGTGATAGTATAGACATCGTGCCAAGGCCAGCCCGTAAGGGGTGTCAATGCCGGTGATGAAGATGGTTTTCGGGTAGAATTGAACATCACGTCGCGCGGCCTGCCGGCGATGGACTGGGTTAGAATGCGAGAGGAAAACAAAGAAATGGCCGACAAGGCACGTGGCAAAAAGGATGGCGTTATCCAGCGGCAGCAGGATGATTGAGATGGCGATTCGTAGTAAAAGGGCGAGAATCTGGATTTGTAATAGCCCTCGAACGGACTGGAGCGTACTTTGTTTCGGAATTGAGCCAAAGGCTCGTCTCACTGTGGGGATGGACATGAGGCCGAATTCTTGATCTCTATGTGCATAGAGTTGTGAAGAAAGACTAGATCGGTGGCGGGCAGCTGCCCTGTTATTCTCAGATGTCTTCATCCACGAACCCCTCCGGAATGCTACCAGACGACCACGTCAGCCTGCATTTCGCCGGATTAGTTAATATTTTTGTTGTCAATCCAGGTGGCTGGGCTGAAACCCTCAGCTGAATGTTTTCTTTTTTTTTTTTTTTCCTTGCACCAAGAATCACATGCTAGTTAACTGTCATTGGCTCCACCTTTGTGGACGAAACTTTATCCATCCATCCACGTCTCACTGTCGATTGCTTTGGGAGATCAAATGAACGAACTATTCATTCATCCAGCCCTACACTAACACACATACTCTCTCAGTGTAATACAATCAACATCACTATTTTTATCAATATAGCACAACATTATTGCAGATGCAATTGTTCGTAAACTTTTATAGAAAGACAAGATATGTTTAGAAAACGAAAAAGGAGAGAATAGAACGAACGGAGAAAATTCAAGCGATCTGCAATCAGCCCTCAGCCCACGAACCAATGCGCCTGAAGAAGATCGACAATCCCCACTGCTTGTTCAGCACAGACCCCTTGGGTTCCCTACCAAACTCCAAGATGTACCCTCTAACTCGCTGCATAGCCTATTTCCTTAGGTAGTTAACAAGAAGTTAGGTATGTCATTTCTGATGTAGTACATGAACGGTGGATATGGTAACCACAGATGTACAAAATGGATGATCTGATCTGATAAAATCCACAAGTAGGGCGATATTATGCAAGCAAGGCTCTGAACACTTCTAGTGTAACTTCGGATGATACAAGGGTGTGGTTTGGTATGATATTTCAAAAGTAAACAAATTCGAAGTTTCATTATCTCACATTACAATTGATACTTGAATAGTTCTGTTCTTTAATTCTTCAATCTAAACTAAACAATTAAGGTATCAAACTTGGGGATACCTTGGCCGGGAAGAGGTCACCGTATCATACGCTGGTTCAATGAAGCCCTTTTTCATCATAACCTTCACGCCGGTTGATTTTCAATATAATTAAAAAGTGAATCTTGCACGAGAGACGACCCATGGAATTAATCAACAACGACACATCTACACGATATAACTCTGTCCCGCTAAATCCTACTCCACTGAGTATATGAGAGAATAGTGTAGTTAATAGAGGTTGATGGAGCCTAAGGTACGATTAGGGATGAATAGCGCAGCTTCTAAGGTGATATGTAAGTCCACCCAAAACAGGAAGAAAAGGAGAATATTTCTAAGTAAAGATTCAATAGACGAACTGTCCTATAGTAAGATAGTGATGCTTTCTCAATCTACAGAAAGAAAATTCCAAGGACGGTAAGCCCAGATCAACCAAATAAGGCAAAAGCATATAACAGCAAGACTAGGTAGGTAACTATTCCTAACTATTCCTTGCTGTGATGCCGGTCTTTCGAAAATATGAGCATGGTGCAAAAACCACTGGAAGTACCTTCCCCGCAATTCCTCAGGGACCTGGTAAATGATCCTTGTAACATTTGGGACCAAAGAACCTTCAGCTCTCCACTTAAGGATATCTTCAGGAGTAACATCTTTGTAGAGTAGATCCTTGTAAGCCCCAAAAAGACAGCCCTGATCATAATCTGATTCAAATTCACTGAAGCCGAAGTCATCAAGTACAATTTTATCGGATGGCAAGAGGTCAAGGGCAAAACATTTATATAAATACTCCGCGGACGAGGGGCATGGTGCAGATCGATACTCGCGGTAAGTAGAAGAAGCCGGGCTATTGTCTATTTTATGATCATGAGCCCTGGAGCTCTCGGTTCTCCTTTTTCTCCGATTCTTCCCCATTCTGCTGTAGAATGTTCTCCGTCAGCGTATTTTGCGTGTTACATGAGAGAAGGAACGGAATAGGGACAGTATTGTGGGTACCTATTATCGATGCTAGTAGCTTACTCCTTAACTCAAAATTTCTAGCAATATTGAATCAATGCAGAAGTGTTCCAAGTTTGTATTGTTCGTGGTTGAGTCCGTTGATCAAATGTAACTAGTACAAGATATGTAGGCCTAGCCTCCTAACAGTGAATAAGATCGGCTTTTATACCCCGCACTCTCCACAGCCTTTCATCTCCAACTTTACAATAAGTGAACAATGGCACCAAGCCTTGCTTTCTCATAACATGCTTTTGAACAGGATGAAGGAAGAGAGACTGAAATCGCCGTCGTTTGACAGAATTCCGCGGCAAAACGTTTAGTCCCTTGGAATAGAATTCAATTCTGCAAACCTAATCACCCCCCACCCCAGTACGGCGCTGGCGATTGCCATCTCCCTGGAACGTTGCCAGATACCCATATACGCCAGAGCCATCTTTACCTATGCCGCGAGGCTTAAAAACCCCTGGTAAGTACGTTACTAAGTGGGACTAGACACTTAAGGCCCTTGTTAGAGCTGCTATGAATATCAGTTTCCCGACAATGAATTCTTCTATTACTCAAATGTAGTCAATGTCGCAACAAGAATCCCAGCCTTTTTTGCTACCTCTACTGAAAGCTGTCAGTAATTCCCGGATATGCGATCACCACAAATCAAAGGAGATATCGATTCCTATCATAGACGTCAGCGGCTTGGGCTGACCATGTTCTCACGCTCGATGGAATGCCCCTCACAGTCCCCGACTAACCTTTATATGACTCACAAAGTTGAGAAGAACAAACATTTCATGACTCAGACCCAAGGAAAAAGGATACCGAATCCTGTCGATCCTCAATCCTTCGATCCTTCGGAGATATATTAAATGAGGGGCTCAAACCCTTATCAGATTATCGGACAACGAACCAGACCTCGGAGTTTACGGGTTCTTAAACTGAACCCAGTATCCGAGGCCGATGCTTCGCACGCGAGATAAAGATTAGGTTACGTTACTTGAACTGGGGTATGACTATACTTAGTGTCGGCCTAGATAAGCTAATCTTGTCTTCGTCTCTATAGTCTTGTGGATGGCGGAATTAGTGCCGTTTTCGGGGTTATGGATTGTTGGTGGACAATTATTTATGTCCGAGCTTGTTCTTTAGGTTTGGATGATGACGATCGTTACCTTAAGATTGAGATTATAAATACCACGGTTGATTCTGGAGTATCTGTGGTATTGTTCATCTGTAGACGTGGGATTTTCCTATCTTTGGTTTATTTGGTGTGAAATAATCGGTACCTTTAGTAGTTATCATTCATAATGTCGCAAAACCAGCCTACAACTCGTCAGGTAAGATTGATTCGATGCGTCGCTACCCTTAGAAATCAGTGCTAACATGATCCATGAATAGCGCAATGACGAAGCTGAACTCGACCTTCTGGACTTCATCTACGCCCAGCCAAACCGGAAGGAGATCCAGGGAAACCCCCAGAAGGTGCTGGACCTGATTGACGAATTCGCTAAATCGCGTCACCTCATCCATGTGGGGCCCGAGAAAGGGAAGGTCGTAGCAGACCTCATTGCGGAGCGCAAGCCCCAGACCATGATTGAACTCGGAGGTTACGTGGGCTACTCGGCCATCCTGTTCGGCGATGCCGTGCGTCGGGCCGGTGGCAAAAAGTACTACAGTTTAGAGTTGAACCCTGAATTCGCCGCCATCTCAACCCTGCTGCTGGATCTGGCGGGCCTCCGGGATTTTGTCCAGATCTTGGTGGGTCGCAGCGACCAGTCCCTGAATAAGTTGTATACCAGTGGTGAAGTTCCACAGGTGGAAATTATGTTCATTGATCACTACAAGCCTGCGTATACCACGGATCTGAAACTATGCGAGCAGATTGGCATGATCGTTCCCGATGTCTCGGTTCTGGTGGCTGATAACGTGCTCTATCCGGGCAATCCACCGTACCTGGAGTATGTACGGAGCACGGTGGAACAGAAGCGAAAGGCGGCCGAGAAGGGACCAATCCAGATGTATAACACGGATGGTATACCTGCTGTGAGTGTGCGGGCCTTTCTTGGCGCGGATGCCACGCCTCTGTTTGACATCCTTGGGAACCCGAATTTGGTGTATGAGAGCACCTTGAATCAACCGGAGGGACTTCGGGTGAGTGAGGCCTTTCTATTATATATTAAGAATGATGATTGCTAACTGTTGTAGGATGCCCTGGAGATTACTCGGTGTGTAGGAGTTGAGAAGGCGTGATCGGGAAAAGCATTTCCGGCGGAAGAAAGCATTTCAATCGGTCGGCTCGGAAGCGTGACAGACGGTCGGCCTTTGCCAGATTTGGTAGAATTTTGCCCCGCCATATCCGCCGGACCCAAAGGTTCCTATCGCGAGGACCTTCCCCCGCACTAGCTGTGTTTCTACATCATCACTAATATGACCTCTTGAATAATTTTCCTGTATATAAAGCTCCAGAAGGCCCCGCCGGTCTCTCTTCCAAATCCGTTCTTTCAAACACTATTACTTTGACACCCTTGTGATTGCCCTTGATAGATATATACATAAAACATTATGGCTTCCAAGACTTTTAATGTTGGTGTGGTCGGATATGGCTTCAGCGCAAAAACTTTCCACATCCCTTTTGTTTCCGATGTTCCTCAGTTGAAACTGTACGCCGTTGTTCAGCGTACACCGAAGCCCGACGATGATGCCGAGAAGGATCACCCTGGCATCAAGTCCTATCGGACTGCCGAGGACATGGTCAAGGACGATGGAGTCGATGTCGTCATTGTTACTACCGCACCAGACTCGCATTACCAGTTGACGAAGTTGGCCTTGGAGCACGGAAAGCATGGTGAGTGTCCCAGGAACTATCTGCGACATCAATTCCTTTCGTGCGCGCTAACGAAGCCACTACAGTTGTCTGCGAGAAGCCTTTCACCCCCACTACTCAGGAAGCCGATGAGCTCGTTGCCCTTGCTGAGAAACAGAACAAGCTGTTGGCTGTGTACCAAAGTATGTGTGATAATTCATCGTTAATTGTCTCGTTCGAGGACCAGCAAGCTGCAGAATCCCGACTAATAATGACTTTTGTGCAGACCGTCGCTGGGATGCCGATTACGTGACCGCCTCCAAGCTCGTGAAGAGTGGCGTCCTTGGCCGTGTCGCCGAATTCGAAACTCACTTCGATCGCCATCGTCCCGAAGAGCCCGCTGCCGATGTTTCCAAGTGGAAGAACAAGGTTGTTCCCGGCGGTAGTGCTATTTACGATCTCGGAAGTCATCTGTTAGACCAGGCCGTGCATCTGTTCGGACTGCCCAACCGTGTCACTGGCTTCATTGGCTCTCAGCGGGCGGTAAACACATCCGGCTACGAGGATTCTTTTACTGTCTTGTTCCACTATAACAACGGTCCTCTGGTGACGGCCAAGGCCGCCGTCGTAAGTCCGGAAGAGGAGCAACTGAGGTTCTGGGTCCGCGGAGAGAAGGGAAGCTTTAAGAAGGTAAGGGCTTGGGCTCGGTGATTTTTAGAGCCTAGAATTAATAAGCTGATGTGCTATTCCCAAACAGTTCCATCTCGATGTCCAGGAGGAGCAGCTCAAGAGCGGAATCAAGCCTGGCGACAGCGTATACGGCAGAGAACCTAGTGAAAGATATGGTATGCTTGTCTCTCTCTCCCTCTCCCAGACAAAGCTTTGTCAGTAGCACACATACTAACGTTATTCTTCCCAGGTACCCTGACCACTATCCAGAACGGCAAGCCCGTCAGAGAAGTTGCGCCGACAGTGGAGCCTCCCACCTGGTCTGAATACTACAGGAAGCTTGCCCGCGCTCTTGCCGGAGAGGGCGACCTTCCCGCCAGCGGAGCGGAGGCCCGCGATGTTATCCGGTTGATTGAGTTGGCAAAGGAGAGTTCACGACTAGGAAAGACCCTTGATGTTTAAATTTTTGTATATATATAAAGATAAGATATTGACGATCATGACATGACAATTTCTTCTTCGCACTCCTTTTGTGACTCACTGCTATATATATGTTGCTGTATTCTGCCCGTTTGTAGCGACATGCCTTTTTAGGTAAGGTTACCCCTACGGAGAGGTCTTTCCGAAGTGTTTGCTAGTACGAGTGATGTGGACAACCGATAGATTTCATTGGCAAGATGAGCCGAGTAGCGCACATCTGTAAAACCCGTTATAACTGTCGTCCATTCAGAGTCAGAATTCGGCAATTGATGATTGTATTTCGTCTCAGTTGATTGTCACATTGAGCTTCGTACATTTCTGATATTCTGGAGTTTATTATCATCATCGCAGACTGCGCCGTTGTCAGCAATGGCGCGGCTGACCAGTTCGGCTTATTTTCTGCAAGACTCGGCGAAAGGAGGGGAACTGAGAGCAATAAAAAGGTCAACAAGACGGTCATGGATGATTGAATTGACATGAAACTAACCTAATGTGGCCGGGGTAATCCACGAATCGGGGATAATTTCCATCACGTAGGGCACGCCGTAAATTACGTTACGAAACTGTGGGGTCGACGAAAATCCTCAGGTCCCCATACCGCTAAACCCAAGACGGCAATCTGTTACTTAATTGAAATGCGCTCAATGGCAGACCAAGCAGACGAGCACCGTCATCGTCATCCCTTTCAAGCGACACAATGTTCTCTTTCGTCAATTCTAGACGGGTATTCTCTCGACTTTCCGCGGAGATACGGTACGGACAGTTCACCATCTGCCAGTCTTTCCCTTGGCTTTAAGGTCATTCCTCGGGATTAAAAGTACTGAAGTATCCCATGGTCCCAACCTTCAGTGGCGCTTTCATGAACACGCTGCGGGTTAAATCTCCTATTCTTTTCTGCAACGGTCAAAAGGCTGGTGAGTGTCCGCTTTCTCATTTACTGTCCGCGAGCATCAGATGATCAAAACAAGAGCACTAGTCTATTAGTCAAGGTCCTCATCTTCTGTCAATTGCCGGTAATTTCTCGGCTCAGCCTAGACCCCTTCTTTCAGCAGTTCCTGTTTATCCTTTCCTGTATTTCTCTCATACTTTCTTTTTATATCCTTAGTGCTGGGGAATATTTTCTGTTTTGTACCTAGCGTTGTATCGAATATTTTTTCACCTCCAGCAAGTGGCAACTGGCTCTAACCTCACCAGATACATAAACCCAGAGGATGTGTTTGTGACCTAACCCGCAGCAACCCATTTCGCGCGTAGAACAGACTCCAGTCAACCTCGATGTTAAGGAACGTGGATTTTTCCCGCTGGCATGTGGATATCGACAGATACCTGAATCCGTTGGTTCCACGCCCGCCATGGCGCTGGCTACCTCGTCCCATCTCTCACTTCCTGGGATATAGAGGGGACAAACCTCCAAAGAATTTGGGCAACCTCGTGCTCGCCTTCTGGTCTTTGATCGGCGTCTTCTGTGGTGTATTAGTTGTCGCCGAAGTATCTTTGCATGTCCCCTCTTTCCAGCACCATCATGCACCAATTATTGTGGCTAGTTTTGTACGTACCTGACTCACGTCACACAGACCCATGCAATGATCAACATACTAATGTTTGGATAGGGTGCCGCAGCTGTGCTGGAGTTTAGCGCTATTGAGTCACCATTTGCACAACCGCGCAATGCCGTCCTAAGCCAGGTCATGGCGAGCGCTATTGGTATCGGGATTGGTAGGCTCTTCGCCTTAAATCCCCATGCTAATTCACTACCTCAGATTGGGGGAGCTCTGGCCTGTGCAATTACCACCTCCGTAATGGTTCTGACGAAGACTGTTCATCCGCCCGCTGGCGCAACAGCTCTCCTCGCTGTCACCGAAGGGTACGAAATCGGCTGGTATCTGGTCCTGATTATGTTTCTTGGGTGTATCATGATGCAAGCCGTGGCACTGGTGATCAATAACATTCAACGACGGTTTCCGGTGTATTGGTGGACCCCTGATCCTCTGCCACGTCCCAAGGTTGTGGTTGAGGACACTGAAAGTGCTCGAGAAGGCAAGCAAGAGAGCTTGGCCCCTAGTGCATCAGACGATGACACTGAAGCTACCGTTCCAGCACGAATTGTTATTGAGGAAGGGAAGGTTTCAATACCGGATAATGTTTGGATAACGGCAGAGGAAAAAGAGTTTTTGGAAAAAATCAGTCAGCGCATACGTTAATACATATCACCTTGTTGTCCGATATCACACGTTTGGGCCATATACCCACTGTCTATCAAGCGGCCTAAGCACATGCATATTTTCCCCATCTAATTACTGAACCATCATCTATACAGATAGAAATAGAGAATATCTACACTATTGTTAGTACCAACCACAGCTTGCAATGTAAGTAGTATCGCGAAAGATATATCGATCTGGATACTTTACAGATAATACTATAGGTAAGTTTCGGAAATCCTTATAACTAGGCATATGCGGGAACCTCTCTTTGATGCATGAGGCTCCTAACAGGATACTAGCCCGCTGAATCTCACATGGTAGTATGCTGTGGCTTGATGTCCCCACGGAGACACGTCTGCCACTACATGAGTAAGGGTGATGTGCTATTACCCTATTTGCTGACCAGTCTAGACTGGTGCCTTGGGCATAAGGCTGTAAATCACGTGTAGTTGGTGCCCAAAGGAGACTAGACTGCGCCACGACCCGTGCGGTGACGTCGGAAAGCCAATCATAGAGGCAAATGAGCGGGACCCACTGAAGGAATTTTTGAAGGTGTCCAAGAAATCATCAAAATCTCTGTTTTCTTTCCTTCTCCCTATCATCTCTTTGGGGCGTTAATCATCTTCGGTTATCGCCACTAGAACCGTTCCTCTGTTAAGTCCCTGGTCTATATATTATATCGTCTCATTTCTCTCTTGTTCCTTTGTCTCGAATCAAATTTCTGGGGCTTCGTCTCACCCACCGATTACTATTCCGAGTGCTCTCTATCGATAAGGGCTTCCAAGAAAACTTCACCCCACCCACTCAGAGGAAAAAGGCTTTTGGTTGACCCCCTTTGACCCCGCTATTATTTGATCCACTCACTGGAAGTTCTTTTTTCTCTTTCTTTCTTGCCTTACCGACAGGCTTTTGACCTTTCCTCCTTTCCGTCTCTTGACGCTTTCCTCCACTCCCCTCCCTCCCATCCTACCAACACATACACCCGACAAAATGGTGTCTGCTTCCAAAGCCGCTCGTTTGGCAAAGCGTGGTGCCGATGGCGACACCAAGAAGAAGCTCGGCAAGGGAAAGAAGGGTGGTGCTGAGTCCCCCCAGGTCGACAGTGACGTCCCGACCGATGATCAGCCTGCCACCACGACCGAGAAGATGAAGGAGGTTGAGAAGCTTACAGCACAGATGGACAAGCATGGCCTTTCGGATCGTGTCACGACCGGTGTGCTCTCTTCCATGGAATCCTCTCGCGACGTCAAGGTCACCTCCGCTTCCCTGGTGTTCCACGGCAAGGTCCTTATCACCGACTCCACTCTCGAACTGAACTTCGGTCGTCGTTACGGTCTCCTGGGTGAGAACGGCTGTGGCAAGTCCACCCTGCTGAAGTCTATCGCCCAGCGTGAATACCCTATCCCCGAGCATATCGATATCTACCTGCTGAACGAAGGTGCTCCTCCTACTGACCTTGGTGCCCTGGAGTGGGTCGTCACTGAGGCTCAGAACCAGCTTGACCGGATGGAGAAGCAGGCCGAAGATATCCTGGAAGAGCAAGGCCCCGACAGCCCTATCCTCGAGGATCTGTATGATGTAAGTTCTCTTTTCTCCCGCTGGTAGTCTGGAATACACTAATATGCATCCAGCGTATGGACAAAATGGATCCCTCCACTTTCCACACTCGTGCTTCCTTGATCTTGACTGGTCTGGGATTCAACAAGGTCACCATCAACAAGAAGACCAAGGACATGTCCGGTGGTTGGCGTATGCGTGTGGCTCTTGCCAAGGCTCTGTTCGTCAAGCCTTCCCTGCTTCTGCTGGATGACCCTACTGCTCACTTGGATCTTGAGGCCTGTGTGTGGTTGGAAGAATACCTGAAGAAGTGGGAGCGCACCCTCGTCCTGGTTTCCCACTCCATGGACTTCTTGAACGGTGTCTGTACCAACATGATTGACATGCGCATGAAGCAGCTCCTGTACTATGGTGGTAACTACGATTCTTACCACAAGACCCGTAGCGAACAGGAGACGAACCAGATGAAGGCATACAACAAGCAGCAGGAAGAAATTGCCCACATCAAGAAGTTCATCGCTTCCGCCGGTACATATGCCAACTTGGTCAGACAGGCCAAGTCGCGTCAGAAGATCCTCGACAAGATGGAGGCCGATGGTTTCATCCAGCCCGTTATTCCCGACAGAATCTTCAGCTTCCGTTTTGCCGAAGTTGAGAAGCTTCCCCCTCCCGTCCTGTCCTTCGATGATGTCAGCTTCTCCTACTCCGGCAACTGGGAGGATACTCTGTATGAGCACCTTGACTTCGGTGTTGATATGGATTCCAGAACTGCTCTGGTCGGCCCCAACGGTGTCGGCAAGTCCACTCTGCTGCGCATCATGACCGGAAAGCTACACCCCATTGGTGGTCGTGTCAGCCGTCACACTCACTTGAAGTTGGGCATGTACAGTCAGCACTCTGCCGAGCAGCTCGATCTGACTAAGTCGTCTCTTGACTTCGTCCGCGACAAGTTCCCCGAGAAGAGCCAGGACTACCAGTACTGGCGTCAACAGCTCGGCCGTTATGGTCTGAGCGGTGAGTCCCAGACCGCTCTGATGGGCACTCTGTCTGAGGGTCAGAAGAGCCGTATCGTGTTCGCTCTGTTGGCCATTGAATCCCCTAACATGATCCTTCTCGACGAACCTACTAACGGTCTCGATATCCCCACCATTGACAGTCTGGCTGATGCCATCAACGCCTACAGCGGAGGTGTCGTTGTCGTGTCCCACGACTTCCGTCTCCTCGACAAGATCGCCAAGGACATCATGGTCTGTGAGAACAAGACCGTTACCCGGTGGGATGGTACTATCGGCCAGTACAAGGACCACCTGCGCAAGAAGATGATTGACGCCGGTGCTGTCTAAGAAAAGGCACGGGAAAAAATGAAGGAAAACGACGCTTCTTGTTATGATTGGAATGTCTGAGACGACAATGAAAACTCAAAAGCTGCAGGGGAGTTGAAATCAAAAGTTTCTTACAGGAGAAATGATCCATCCTGAGTGATACAATGACATAGGCGGGGGTCGGTTTTCTTTCTTACATACATATCTGGAGATATCTGCTTCTGCTTGTTTGGGTTGCTTTATTTTTATTAGATGGTCTGTCTGTGTTTCATACCTCATCCCCTGCTAGACCCCTCACGTTTCAGGGTTCAATTTATATTCTTATATCTTTTTACGTTTCTATGATTCCACCATTTGTTATAGACGTTGTGTAGGACTTTTGTTTTGATGGTCTTAAGACCCTTTAGCCTGCACTTATGGTAGAGCTTTGTTTAATGAGAAGGCATGAAACAACTGAGCAGCAATTCAGCTGAACTTGGTCTAATTATACATCAGTCCGAAACAACGTGACTTATCTTCTATAATTCTACATCTACTATTGAGGCAGTTGCGCGTCCTTCGTGCGTTGCGTCACTAACTCACCCCCAAAGATATCCTTTGGCTGTTCTCCGTCCAATTTCCGCTTCTTTGCTAGACGTTCCATCTCACTCTCAGATGTCGCCGGGTCTCCAGCCGCTGCTACTGCTGCCGCCGCCGCAGCAGGGATACGCTTCTGGCCCGCAACACCAGCCTTGTCCGGGTTCTGGCAGTGGGAGAGCTTCTTCCGGATGCGCCTTAAGTTCTTCTTCTGGTCTGGATCTGAGGCGAGGGGTTTATACGCTTGAAGGAGATTAGAGCAATCGGTTAAGGTACGGATGAGCTTCGTCCGGAGTTCGTAGAGCGGGGATCCCTGCTGCTGCTGTTGGGGTCCGCCCAGCTTAGTCTCGAGGTAGAATTCCGCCAGCGGCTTGTCCGCGATCATGAACGCCGCGAGCCAGATCTGGGACGGTGTGTAGAGGAAGTAAGCATCTGTCATCTGGGCCGCGGATTTGAGGATCTCGCGGGTGTTGTGGTGCGCGCGAGCGAGTCGGTCTGTGATGGAGGATGAGGATGCTGTTGGCGATGGGGGGAGGGAATGGAGTCTGCGTTTGAGGTCGTCTGGTGTCTGGGTTGGGAAGTGGGGTGCTGGTTGGCCCATGCCCTGGGATATGGCTTGGAGTTCCATGATGCCGCCTTCGAGGCCGCGGAAGGGGTGGCGGACGTCGAAGGTGAAACGGAGGCTTTGCATGACCAGGAATTCGGGCTGGATTAAGTCTTCCGGTGTTGTGCCGCCGGGGATTACTTCTGCGAATTGGCGGAGGGAGAGGTAGTAGTTGTCTGTTTTTGTGGCGAGGAAGAGAGCGCAGAGCATGATTGATTTCGGGTGGTAGGTCATTGGGGAGTTGGTTAGGTAGAAGCGTCGAAGGTATTGGATTGCTGTGGCCTGTTGGAAGGGTTTTGGTGGTTAGTTGTTGGTTGTTTCTTTCCGTGTTTTGTGTGTATAAATGGTAGAGAAGGGAGGGTGTGACGTACCCGGACTATTGTTGGGAGTGGGGGTTTGTACATCTCCCCCAGCTCTATAATTTGTTCACAAAAGTATCGCACTAGCTGGTGCTCTTCTTCGGGTGTTAAGCATTCGATCTCCGTCTCTTCGCCGCCTGCTTTGCTGTCTGCGTCGCTTCCATTCTGGTTTGCTGCTGGTGTTCCTGCTGCGGATGAGGTGGCTGATTGTTGCGCCTCTCGCGATTTCCGGAGTGCTGATCGTACGCGCTCACTGGCGTTTGCGTTTGTCGTTGCGCGTAGGGATTGTAAAGATTTCTCTGTGTAAGACCAAAGTCGGAACTGGGATGAGGAGCGGTAGAAATCGTCTTCGATCATGGTGGCTGAAGGGAGCTGCGCTCGAACGAGCTTCTTCTGTGTAATGTATGGCAAATAAATTTATCACTACTCAGACTAAAAAGGTGTCGACTACTTGTAGGTTCACTCGAGGTCTGGATCTGTGGCTAATCATTGACCCATAGTTAGAGAAAAGTGAGTTGTTAGAGTTAAGCATTGAAGATCGGAAGGCGGAGAGGAGCTTAAAAGGCCCGCCACGTGCTTATCGATAGCGCAGAACAGTACGGAGTAGTATGCTATTTATTAATTTCTACTTTAAGTATCTTCATCTACAATCATTAAAATCCAGACTAGAAATGGTTATTCATCGAGGAAATGTAAGAAACGTGACGTATTGCTTCACAAAAAGATATAGAACATAGGTCCGAT